ATTGAAACTTGTGTATGCTTTGCAAAGTTCTCGTGCTGTGTTTTTCAGCTCCATCAAGTCATTTATATTCTTCTCTAAGCTGTTTATTCTAGTTACATCTCATCTAACCTTTTCTCTACGTTCTTAGTTTCTTTGCATTGGGTTAGCACATGTTCTTTTAGCTCTGAGAAGTTTGTTATTACCCACCTTCTAAAGCCTGTTTCTGTTAATTTATCCGATTTATTCGCCATCCATCTTTGATTCCCAGCTGGTGAGGAGTTGTGATCCCTTAGAGGAGGAGAGGCCTTCTGGTTTTTGGTGTTTTCTTTCTTTTTGCACTGGTTTCTTCCCATCTTAGTGGTTTTATCTACCTGTGGTCTTTGTAGTTGGTGACTTTCACATGGGATCTCTGAATGAACATCTTTTTTGTTGACACTGAAGTTGTTTCTTTCTGTTTCTTAGTTTTCCTTCTAACAGTCAGGCTCTCTGCCACAGGACTGCTGGAGGTCCACTCCAGAACCCACTCACCTGGGGATCTCCCACGGGGGGGCTACAGAACAGAATGGTTGCCGCCCGTTTCTTCCTCTGCTGTCCTCATCCCAGAAGGGTACCGAGCAGATGTCAGCCTGAGCTCTCCTTTATGAGATGTCTCTTTGGGTATACAGGGTTGGGGAGTTACTTGACGAGACAGTCTGTCCCTTATAGGAGCTCAAGTGCTGTGCTGGGAGCTCCATTGTTACATGCAGAGTTGCTGGGCAGGTACCTTTAAGTCTGCTGCAGCTGAAACCATAACTGCCTCTTTTCCTGGGTGCTCTGTCCTAGGAAGGTCAGCTTTATTTATAAGTTCCTGTCATGCTGCTGCCTTTTTTCACAGATGCCCTGCCCCACACGGAGTAGTCTAGTCACAGTCTGTCAGCAGAAGTGTTGCTGAGCTGCCGCAGGCTCTGCCCAGCTGCTGTGTGAACTGCTTTGGTAGTGGCAGACTGCGTTGGTAGTTGGGGATGCCCTTCCCTCCACTGAGCTGGACAGTCCTAGGTCCAGCTGCACTTGCTGTGAAACTCTCAATCCAGAGCATTTCAGATTGCTTGTTTTGTGGGGGTGGTACCTGCTGAGCCAGATCACCTGGCTCTGTGTCTCAGCCCCCTCCCTTTCAGTTGAATGGGCGGCTCTGTCTCCCAGGCGTTCCAAACACCATTTGAAATGCTGCCCAGACTTGTGTGAGTTTTTGTGCACCCACCCAGCACCAACTGAAACTGCCATGCTGTGGCGCTTTTTAGCCCAGGAATCTTCTTGTCTATGGGCATTGAAAACTTATTTGGAAATGTGGTGTGCACTCACCCTCTGCACTGTTCTCACTGGGAACTGCACTTACAGAGCTCTTCCTATTTGGCCATCTTGGATCCTCCCCTCACCTTTATTTTTATTCATTTCTTAGTTCAACCAATATGCAGCTATTGGGCACCCATTATGAGCCAGGCACTGTTTAAGGTGCTGAAGATACAGCCATGAAGAAACACTGAAATCCTTGCCTTTACTGACCCCTTCTAATGGGGCAAGACAGTCAGCAATTAATCATACATAGAGCATGTTAGCAATGAGTGTTAAGGAGCAGAACAAAGCGGGAAAGACCCTGGCACTTTCTATATGAGCTTGAGTAACTTCTAACCTATTATCATCAATACACAAACATTGTCATAAAATGCTAATTATTGAAACGTCATTTGGAAACCAGATCACAAGTACTGGCAACTGATGATAGTTAACCTACTGGAGAAGGTAAAATTAGTTCTTTACACTTAAAAAAAAATTGTGTGTGTGTGTGTGTGTGTGTGTGTGTGTGTGTGTGTGTGTGTGTGTGTTTCTTCCAGAGGCTTGACATCTGGTTAAATAAAGTTGGCATTTCACTTTTTAATATTCTTACTTTAAGTTATAAATATTGTATAAACTGTAGTATTTGTCTCAAAAGATATTTTAAAGTTATGTTAGAAAATTCTAAATGTAGGCAACCTTTTAATACTTCTGGCATATTTTTAAATATAAATAGTAGTAAGTTGCATTTGAACAAAAACTTAAAATTAATGTTAGATTTTTAACTTTCTCAGTTTTTTGAACCTGTATTGTAGATCCTAACAAACTTCATTTAAAAAGGAAAAGGTTAATTTTTAAAATGTTTCCCACTGGGCATAACAATTTCTGTTAATGTTCATGATATACTTAATTATTCTTACAAAGCAAAAAAAAGGAAAGAATATATATTTTTATTAAGTTCAAAATGATCTGATAGAACATCATCAACCAAATATGAATATCTTTACACCTGTCTTATAAAGCTGAGGATAGATGCAGATTGAAATAAGTTGTCATTTTTTTCTCAGATAACAGTCTTTAAAAGTCATATTTTACAATGAAAAAAACATTGAGACGTATATTTTTTTATTTTAACTTGTTCAGTTTTTATAGCTAAATAATTTTAATTATAGTAACCAGCTAGTACCCATATTCCCTAGAAAAATTTGAAGAATGCAGGCTTCATTACATGTATGTGTATATGTATACTTATAACTGATTTCTAAGTTAATACTGTCACCTCCCCATTCTCCCACTATTGACCTTGAAAACAGAATTCTACTTCAGTCTGTCGCTACTTGACCACCACACAGGATTTATGCAGGCTGCGTGGCGGACAGTCTTCTGTCTGTTTCTGCAAAGAACAACTGGGGGATGGGGCTGTGCTGCAGCAAAATCTCCTGAGGTGCCCCACAGCTAATGCTGTTCCAATTCAGTACCCCCAAAGCATATCCTTGCCAATGCACTTTTCACCCAGCAATGGTCTGCTGTAAAAGAAATTCAGGCTGCAATAGCAGGAAAAGTTAGAAGCACCTTAAAAGTATAATGTATAGTACTATGATAACACTGCCATTCACACTAATATCTTCATAACTTAAGCCCCATCCACTTTCTTATTTTTGTTGCCAATTATTTTCTGACGTGAACTCTACACTCCACCTTACTACGTCAGTATTGTTAATGCCCAAGGTCACACCTGCCTGCATGCCTTTGCTTCTGTTTATTTATTTTTCTACTTAGATACTATTCTCTTTTCCTTCTGACCCTTCCCAGAATTCTACTTGTTAAAATCCTACTCCTTCAGAACTTTTTCAGTGCCTCTTTCAGTCTGAGACATTTTTTAGACTCAAAAAGTAGTGAAATTCTACTCTTTGAATCCCAGTTATACTAAATACCCCACAATATAATTATTTCATTCTATCTAGAATTACACTCATTTGTATGCTTGTCTTATGTCCCCTACCGCGTTTTTCCACTACACTCTAAGATGTTTGAGAGTAGCAGGAACTGTTTCTTATCCCTCTAGGTATTTCTTGAAGCATCTCACATAAACATCGAATCTGCATTTAATTATTGTTTTAAACAAGATTCTTTTTTTTAAAAAAATTATCATCTAAATTGTAAGGACATAAATGCCAGAACCGGAAACACCATAGCTCTGTGCAATTGCCTCCTAACAAAGCGTTTATGAACTTGATGTGGGGAGGAAAAGTCACGTTTTTATTTCTAAGAAGTTTCACATAATAGCTGATATTTTTATATGACCATAGACGTTTATTTACATAGCAGAATTTTTCAAAGTCTTATAACATTATTCCCTTTAATGGAATAATAGAAAATCTCAATAGTGGTATTGGTATGAAAGATATATTTCTATTTAAGATGATTTTTTAAATTAGGACTAATTTTGTCATAAATCACATTTTATAATTTCCTAAATACTATGGAAATATTCCCAGAAGTCTCAAATTACATCTTTCTGTAACTAATAGATAAATTCAGTATTATACCTATCAACTTTTCTACCATAAAATTATTCCCCAAGCAACATCATGATGCTGCAGTGACTAATTACTACAAACCATTCTTTCAAAATTGCCATCTTCTCTTTATAATTAAGACCACACTGGGGCTTATCTGTACAAGTATCCTGACATCAGACCAAAACTGCTGATGTAGCTTTAATGTGTAGTGGGGCAAGCAAATAAATAACCTTTACGTCTGTAAACTTAAATGCTATCTTGCAATTTCTCAACACGTTATGCTGATGTTGTAGATTTGTTCTTATTTTATTCCAAAGCCAACCAATCAATTCCAATGTCAAAAACAATTTGAAGTTTTAAGATCACATTTTAAACAGCATATTTATTAATCACGGAGAAAATGAAGTAAGTCGAGAAGCCTATTCTTTGTGGAAGATCAGTACTTTTACTATTAAATAATAAAGACATTATTAAAATAATTATATATAAACTTATATATTGTATTTATAATTAGCTTGTCTGAGAGTTAAGATTGAATAAATCTTTGAAGAATTGGTAATCGGAGAGCTCATTTATCTCCCCAGCCCAATTAGTATGTTTTAGGATTCATTTCTATCAAATCCTAAACTTCCTTGCAGAGGCTTACAGGGTCACAGAGCTGTGTGACGGAGGATAGGATATGAACTGTGACAGATGTTTCCACCGTCGTGAAGCAGAGATCATTAATGAAATGCTGTTTGATGCAGGTTATTCTGAGGTCGAACCAACGTTCAACACTGCATAAATGATTCTAAATTGCAGTTGATCTCTCACATAAACTTTTTACTGATTTATTTGCTGAATAAAGCGATGTCTTTAATCATAAGTGAAGTGATACTGAATGATCAGCTCAGGTGTGGCCCCTGGCTTTATGTTTGATTTTCATCCAAATCTCACTTCTTGAGCCATTTTCCATGTTAGGGTCCCTAGCTACTGAATGGCCTTTTGTTATTTATTTTTAACTTTCTGAAGCCTGCTTTCCTAAGATTTAAAGCCCACCTCTTATTACATTCAACATTTCCTCTATTTACTATATTACTAATGTTTGTAATGAGTACTCAAGTTTCCCACCATTCCACATTTACAACCAGTTCTTCTATATTCTAAGATGAAATTGGAGGCTGCATAAGTTCCAATAGATGAAACTGTCAATAAAGTGAGCAATAAATTCTTCCAATACCCTGCTTTTAACGACATAAGAATTTGTGTTTTCATAATTGTCATCAGAAATAGCACAGAGGTAACAAATTGACCCCCATAAATTCCTCACTGTTACTGTGGTCACATCGTTAAAGCTGTTTGGGTTCATCCAGTTAATAATTTTTAACTCATAGAACAGTTGTGAACATAAAATGCCACCTACGAAGTACTTATTATGGGGCTACCACATATTTTAAAAGTCCAGAATGACTCTGACACCATATATTATTGATAAGAAGGTGCATCTGTTTTACCCATTAACATCTCTGGAATAATGGCATGTCACATTGGATGCATTTTAAAACCTCTGTGGCCAAGCAACAGTTATGGCACAGTCATCATTTCTTGTACATGTGAAATTGTTATTCCTGGTGGAGCAATTCCACGATGCTTCTGCAACAAAGCAGATGAAAACTGCTAGGACCATTTGAGGAAAGAAAATAAATCCCAGTTGCTTGCTTAAAAATTTCATTGATACCTTCTGGGGCAATTAAAGATGCTACAATATCAAAACTTAGAGATGAGTATCAGTATTCCAGAAGAAAATTCTAGAGATGAAAAAGGAGAACTCTTTTGTAAGAAACCCTACATCAGCTTTTTTGACATCATAGAAGCTGATACTGTGTAGGAGGAGAACACGGACTTCAATGGGTGTGAATTAAAAACTGGCTTGAAAGACTGGGATTCTTAATGTAAATAAGTTTTAGAAATACCTTTCCTTTTCATGTATGTAAAAGAGAAATAGTAAAAGCTATATTATTAAGTCATAAAAAGCTATTTCTGTAAGCACACAATATACGTTAGAGTTTATCGGAAAGCATATTTTAATTTGCAGCCGTTTCTTTTTCCTTGGGACATGTAAAATGATGGTGGATTGCACAGTCAATACAACTTACACTTGAAGAAATATGATACTATTGTTACTCAGTGGCCTTCCCAGTAATGCTCTGGAGCATCATAATATATCATTTACAGTTAATATCCCTGTTTCTAATCACCCTGAAACCTAATACATTAAATTAAGCAACATTTCAAAACTTGTAACTAAGACTTTCAACCTGGGGGATAATATTTGAAAATACACTTGGTTTTCTGCATCCGCAAAGTCTCAATACCCATGTTTCTCCTGGTCAGCAATAACATGGGCCTCATTTGTGCCTCATTTTCACTTTCTCTGGAGGACAATGGCCTCTTTCTTTAAGGTCTTCCATAGCCCCCTAAAGCAAGTGTCATGTAACTACAGAGTTTATATTTTAAGCCACTGAGGTCAGATTAACACATAATTTGCTTCCCTAGCAGTGTGTAGGTCACAGGCTATGTGCCAAATAAGTGGTGGATCTTGTTGTCAGCCATGTTAATTCCAAAGAACAGAGAATGGTCAGGTTCCTGCTGGCACCATATCTAATCTGCTGTCATTGTCCTTTTTTTAGGTGGAATTCACTGTCCAAATAGCAGTGCTTTGCAAGAAGTGCGAAGCTGTAATGAGCATCCTTGCACTGTGTACCACTGGCAGACTGGTCCCTGGGGCCAGTGCGTGGAGGACACCTCCGTATCGTCCTTCAACACAACTACGACTTGGAACGGGGAGGTCTCCTGCTCTGTCGGCATGCAGACGAGAAAAGTCATCTGTGTGCGAGTCAATGTGGGCCAAGTGGGACCCAAAAAGTAAGAGCTTTAGAATGACAACAGTAAATTCTGTAGCCCACTGTGCAGAGGATTGTCTCAGGCTTCACTGGCTTCATGATATGGAGCATTTTGATGCTTGTCATACCTGTCCTCAAGAGTAAGATTTGTTTGTTTTGAAAGTCAGCACTGATAAAACTATAACGGCTTTGAGTTTTGTACTGGGGAGCCATAAATTCCATAGAAATCTTTCTATCTGGTAGCTACTTTGTGTTTTATGGTAGCACTTTCTGCTTTTATTAAGCTAGTGAGGCAGTGAAAGAAGTGCTTGCTTTAAGCCTGGCTGATCAATAATGACAGTGTACTAAGTCCTGGCAGTGTGGGTCATCCATGAACTCCTATACACCCATAGGCTATGGAGGCCGCCCAGTCTAGTTTAATTGGGTAGAAGCCTTGTATGATCTGCCTTTCATTTCCCCTAAAAAACACTATATCAAAAATACTGAAGCATACTTACTGTATCTTTCAATGGTTAGAATAAAAACCATTTATTTTCAAGACAGAGCCTTGGGATAGGATGAGTGTTGTTATAAGTAGAAAAACTATCAGTTTCTCAGGGTAGAGATGAGTACTGTAATAACAAGGAAAACACTTTGCTGGAGGGGAGAACAAAGAACCAGAGAGTTGGCATATTCTATGTGCCTTGTGAGAAGTATAAACAAAAACAGTGGCATAGCTGAGCTATTGGATGCATAGAGAAAATTAATAAATCCACTCTAAAAAATATTTGAGGGGAAAAACTTCTTTATTTTTCAAATCTAAGACAGCATACTTTAAAAAAATTCAAATCACTTTAGCCATGTGAGATATGAAATGGTAAACGAGTCAATTTTTGCATGAGTTTAAAAGCCTCATCTTTTCAAAATACTCAGCCAAGTGGTAAAATATTGTGTGTAATCTTCGGCATGCTACCTAACTTATTCTGGCCAACAGTTTCAAAGTCTGTTGAAAGGCTTTAATGAAAAATATAATAGTAATCCAAGTACTCAATAAATGTTAGAAATTGTTCTTTCTTTCTTAAGAATATTAGCTACTCCTTAGTGTTCCAGGAAGATGAAAGTGTTTCTGATGTGTGAAAAACTCCAGGGAGATAAATAAGAATCCCATTATGAGATATTTTTATCTGGCCTGGGTTCCAGACCTTAGGGATATTTTGCCCCATGACTTATTTGTTTATATTGCTTGAAATTAGGAAACAGTAAACATGCCAGTGATTTGAATAAATTAAAAGACTGTTTCACATGTTTAATAGGTAGCCTCAAACCAGTATTTTAATAGAAATTATGCTAAAGCGGTGATGAATCTCAGGAAATTAATGTGCAGTGTATTAAAATCAAAAGTAACAAGAGCAGAAGTCCCAAGTTTTGAAGGATTCTGATTCTTGCTGGAATAAGAATAAAGGTATTCACTACCCAGGCACAGGCCCAGCCTGCTGTGGCGCAGGATGGGGGTTACTGTGCTGAGCGTCTACCAGTAAGCTCTTTCTGTTCCTGTCCAATGGTTAATCATCTTCCAGATGTTGCTGTTGACATTTTCCTCACTTCTACAAACTACAAAATATTTTTCCTAAGTAATGGATGTGCGTATGTAAAAGCCTATATGTAAAAAAGCCTGCTGGATTAACAGCATTAAATCAGTGGGAAGGATATCCTGAAGCCCCACATCACATTACCACAATAATTCATTAAAAATTTGCTTTGCCCTTGTAGCCTTCATTCAATGACCTGTATACATCTATAGACTTGTTAAATCAAATGGATGTACTTTGCCTTTAAAATTCTAGAAAATCAAGCAAATACTGTGAATTCAAAAGAAAACGTTATTGTCCTTCTCCCTAAATGCTAGGTTAAATTCAGTGAATGGTTTCCAATACTAGGTATTTGGACAAAAAAATGCAAATTGAAAATTTGTTTTAAACTTCTCTTAATAAAACAGATTACTGTGCAATGGTAAAATCAATGTTATTGATCTTATCTATCCTCCCGGTAACAAACTTCAGCTCCTATCACATCCGTTTAATTTGACCTTGCATAAGATTTGGGGGAAAATCAATTCCTTGATTTAAACCATAAATACTGAATACAAACAGTACAAAGGATAAAAGAAGCATGTTGACTGAACCAATTGCCTTACCAAAGGAAGTCCAAATTCATTTTATTGGATGTCATCTAGACTGTATAATTTATCTTTGTGTGTTCATTTAACAACTTTGTTGTTTGTAATTTTGTTCTCCACAGTCAGCCAAGTATCTTGCTGTGACTATTTCTGAACTAAAACAGAATAGTTGGAGGTTGTCAATGATAACATTGTAAATTCCATTGATTTATTCAGGGCTAGTGTCTGAGGAGAATGTAGCTGAGCAACGCTCTGTCATTGTTAAAGTTATGAAATTGCCTTTTGGAAAAAAGCACTGAGAATAATAATTACTGACCAATAATTTCATAGTTCCAAAAGAATTAACTGAATTACATGTGGAGTTCAATTATAATTCTAGTGATTTACAGTCTAAATTGTAATAATACATTAGCTTCTATGATTCAAATCTAAATTTCTTTGTTGTCCGTGACTTTGAATAGTCATAGAAATTAGGAAAATTCCAGCTGAAGATAAATCAAAAAGACTATTTTTGAAATGTTGGATTCTTTATATTTTAAGATTCACTTCCAAATATACACTAGGATTTTCAAGTAAAGGAGGAGAACATGGATCTACATAATTGAATAAAGCATAATATTTATGTATGAGAAAGAAAATGGACATAAATAATTGTAATACAAGATATGTCAAAAATGAAGTATCAGTAAAATACTATAAAAAATGGGAAATATATTACTCATGTTGATTTTTTTCACTCATAGTTCACTTCTGAAAACCTGAGTAACTTACTTGACAAGACAATTTATCTTGAACTACAACATATTTGAATTATCTTTTATATAGTATTTTAGAATCTGATTTGCCGGTTTATTTTAACAAGAACTATATTAGTTGTTTGGATTATTTCTTCATGGCCTATTAGCTTACATGGCAAGGATTTATATGACTTCAAAAGATAATTGCTTAGGCATCAGAATCTAAGTTGTTACTTTTAATTATATGAATTATGTTACTATTTTTTAGTTTTCTAAGGCTCATGATCAGCATTGGACCTATAGCAGTAGTAGCATCAGATCATGAAAATGCAGAGAAGAATTGGGAAATATGAAAATTATTACTTCTCAGCCTTTTGGCTAAGATCAAGTGTAAAAAATTATATAAGAAGTATATTTTGAATAAGGCAGTATATTTTAAACCTGTGCATAGCTTCCTGTTATCTTTTAAGAAGTGAAAGCTTATATGAAGTTAGACATTCCCGTGTTCTTCATTCTTATCTTTCTCTCGTATTCCCAATAAATAATATATTTTTGCTGTTATTTTGAAAACAATAATTTTACCACAATTTATGTCAAGCACACAGTATTTCATTTTTCTTTAAACTACTGATTTACTACCTTTATTGTATTTATATTCATTATTTTTGTTCCAAAAAGATACTGTAGCTTATAAAAACATAAAAAATATTAAATCCCATAATTCAAAACCAGCGACTAATGGAAAAGAAAACACAAATAGATACACTAAATAAAACCAGGAATAAAGCAAAAACTGCTTATGAGATTGATTAATACACTTTTATTTTCTCATTTATTATTAAGTATGTAGTTCTTAATATAGTATTTTGGCTACTGTGTAAAAAATATACTCCACTGTAAATTTGTTTTATACAATATGTATTTTGTAAAAATAAAGTGTAGAATAACCTGGACACTTATAATAGGCAAAAAGCCTATTTAGTCATACAAATATATATTATAGAATTAGATCCTTAAATTCATAATTTAAATTTCCACAAAATTTCTCATAAAATACATTAGCATAGAAATATTTATTAATGGAGAGATTATTATAAGAGGATAAGGGGTGGTTGTTATATCTGGTTCTCAGTAGTATCACTGCTATTAGCAAATCTGCACATCTTGCCTTGAGAAGCTTTACTGAGGTCCAGTTTGAAACAATCAATTTAGTTGTATAGTTTTTGCCTGTAGCAGAAAGAAAGGCTCCTGGAAGTTAAATAATACAGATGAGTGACTTGTTTTGTGATTTTATCAGTGAAAATTCTAGAGAAATTAAATTATCTGATTTGCTGCCTTTCTATTGAAGCCTAATAATTTCCCTTTGCTTTCATAGATGTCCTGAAAGCCTTCGACCTGAAACTGTAAGGCCTTGTCTGCTTCCTTGTAAGAAGGACTGTATTGTGACCCCATATAGTGACTGGACATCATGCCCTTCTTCATGTAAAGGAGGTATGGTCTGCAGAGTTAGGAAGGCTGTTCACCTAGAAAACCCCCTCAGTAGACTTCTGAGGTCTGGCCTAGCATTGTTTGTGAGTTTTGTACAGGGCTATGTAAACCTGATTTAATATGGATGCCATACAATTTTAGTTTCCCCCTAGAAAATAACATAGCTTGAGAAAACCAAACAAGTGAGTTTTATTCCAAAGCCTGACTTGAAAGTTTATGATATAAAGTGATGAATTCTAAATCTTATTATATTAATAATGTTTACTTTCACATTTTCTGAAAGAATATGTAGTGGTTTGTATATTTTAAAAGGATATACAGTGCTTTTATCTGTACACATGGCTTTCAACCTACTTAATATAAAGAAATGACATGTGACTAGATTTGCTACAGATTCAATTATGCAGCTACAAGAATAGGAATAAAAGAAAGAGAAAAATGGCCAAATTGTTTCTCTGCCAACATACTCTGTGTCAGGAGGAATTTATGAGTGTTTATCCCCAGTTTGGTTTAGTTTTGCTTTTATTACTTACAGACAAAAACTCCTTAGTACCAAGCCAAATACTTTGATAATTCTTTCTTTACGCTCTAGGACAGGGTCTTTTCTCATTGCTGATGAGAAAGGTATCAACATCCTCCAGGTGACTTATACAATAACTGACCAAATTTCCCTGCAGTATTACAGATGACACTGTCTCCTATTTCTTATCTTATTCACTCAGCAAATACAGATAATTTTTTCTAAATTCCCATTATGCTTTTTATTCTTGTTTCTTAACACAAGAGACTCAATTAAGAATCAGCTTCTAGCTTAACAGATATTTTAAATTGTCAAAATTTATTCAAATCCTTTATGGATTATAAATTTAACAATAGATACTTTTACTGTGTTATTATAAATGTATGTGGTTGAAATGTGAGTTTCTTTTGATGCTTTTTCTATTTAATACTCTTGAAATATCAAATAATATTAAACCACAAACTGAAAAGAGATAGAAAATTATTTTTTAAATTTATTTTATTATTTTTTTTAAGACAGAGTCTCACACTGTCATTCAGGCTGGAGTGCAGTGGTGTAGTCTTGGCTCACTGCAACCTCTGCCTGTCAGGTTCCAGTGATTCTCCTTCCTCAGCCTCCCAAGTAGCTGGGATTACAGGCATGAGCACTGGCTAAATTTTGTATTTTTAGTAGAGATGGGGTTTTGCCATGTTGGCCAGGCTGATCTAGAACCCCCAGTCTCTAGGGATCCACCTGCCTCAGCCTCCCAACGTGCTGAGATTACAGGCATAAGCCACTGCAAATATTTTTAAGAGTCTTTTAAGGCATTTAAATAACTTATGGCAAATTAAAAGGAGATGTGAGCATTAACTTTTATAAACATGTTGATAGCATAAACCTGCTATGCAATGTCATTGCGTGACATTTTAATCCAGATTTTCTTCTCCTATTCCTTTAATTTTTTTATTTTTATTTTATTTTTTTGAGACGGAGTCTTGCTCTGTCGCCAGGCTGGTGTGCAGTGGCGCAATCTCCGCTCACTGCTACCTCCGCCTCCTGGGTTCAAGCGATTCTTCCGCCTCAGCCTCCCGAGTAGCTGGGACCACATGCGCGTGCCACCATGCCCGGCTAATTTTTTTGTGTTTTTAGTAGAGACGGGGTTTCACCATGTTTGCCAGGATGGTCTCGATCTCTTGACCTCGTGATCCACCCGCCTCGGCCTCCCAATCCTTTATTTTTTAAAAGCTGAATAACACTGGGCATAGTTCATAAAAGAATAGTACTTTATTATAGATTAACATTTTACCTATGATGGCAGTTTCTTATAGGTGGTAATTGTTGGTTATTAATTCAATTAAAAAGCATTGTTAATTACATAGAATTAATACATTTACAGATTTTATTCTTGATACGTTTATACTTGATCTTTTGTGTTAATATAAATATGCTCATTTACTAATAATTCCAAAACGTGCAGTTACATTTATAACCAAATTATTAATAGTCTAAAACAAATTTTAACTGAAAATTTTGAAAGTGGAAAGACTTTGCCTTTCTCTTATTTTGGATATTTTCATGTATTGTGTAAAATACTGTTTTAAAACAGCTGACTTGATATAAAGTATTTCAAGGAAGTAAAGATTTAAAAAAGAACAGATTTTATTGAATTGATTCTAGAGTAATCACTAATAAAAGTGAAGAATCAGAATTTTTCTAATTTTTTAGATCTTTATTTCAAAATAATTTTGGATATTGGAATGTATTCAGAAATTTGGACCATTTTAAGTAGCCTACAGATTTTTTCTTAAGTTCTTGAAAACGCATTTGTGATTTTGTAATTTATTATATATGTCTAGAAAGGAAAGAAAAAAATAGAGGTTTCTTACTCATAAAAATACCATACTTGAAAAGAAAATAACATGATTTCTTCATACTGTGATTTTTACGGTATGAAGAAAGTGATTTACTCTTTGCTGTTTAATCATTTATAAAATAAAAAATGTACAACACAGTGATAATTCACATAATGTGCTTTAAGAAAACTTCTTAGCAAGTAGGTAAGAATGAATAGATTGTGAATGCTACACAGGCCTTAACTGAGTCAGTACTTAAGTGTGTATATATGCATAAATATTTAATTACTTATTTATTGATTCCTGTATATAACTAGCACACAAATGATCTTGTAGAGAAATCACAGTCCCTGACATCAAGGAAGATTTAATTACATTTAACATATAGGATTTTTCTGCACAGCCCAGATAGTGTAAGACTTACATGGTTCAATAACAAGCTTTAGTGGTAAAACAGAAAGAGCTCTAAGGAAGAGAATGGAATAATCATGTGAGAGCAAATATATTAAGGAAAATCGTATTTAAAGGAGGGGTAAGAGTTCTTCACAATTCAAGAAGATCTCTTGAATTGAATTGAAACATGAAAGAATTCCAAGCGGGAATTAGAAACATCAGGAAAGCATTAAATGCCCATGAGAAAGATGTGATTTTGGAAAGAGCAACCCACTGGAGCCCAGGATGTAAAGGAAACTTTCCCAGAAGAGATTGAAGATGAGAAACCAGTGGGTGATGATGAGTTCCCTTGGGTGCAGTGGTGGAAAGGCTAGGGGATGTAAAGGAATGAGAAATTGAATCATGTTATACATGTAGGTAGTGCTGTGGGTGATGATAAATGACCGTGAGCTGGGGAGGGCTCTTGTGGTGAGTGACAGCCATGTGAGGCATGATGAGTTTAGTTGGGCTGGTCTCTTGGGGGAAGGTAGGAAACCTCCGTAAGTAAAAATGCATGGTGCCACTAGGATACTATCCTCTCCTGGAGTTCCTGGGATGGTGGTGGCAGAGGAGTAAAAAATGCCAACTTGGGAATCAGTCTCTTGGAAGCAAGAGGCTGTCTAAGAGGCAGAGCTGTGTTTCCCTGAACACAGGTCATGTCATCCGGAGCAAGGAATGATAGCTGAGTGTTTTCTTTGGTGACTTACGTTGTGTATCCTAGAACAAAAAGGGTTTTGGAAACCCTAAACTTAGGCACTCTGCTTTTAAAAGAATCACTACAATTGTGTATTGAGGAAATAAAAATTTTTTACAGTCTGGGGAGTGATAGAAGGGGTTGTCATTGAATAACAGTGCCAAGAAGCTTTCTGCTCTAGAAGAAGCCTTTTCTGTTTTGCCTGGAGACTGCTGTCATGGAGAATAGACAGTGGTATTATAGAAAGCTAGTCTTTTGTTGTGAAGAAAATAAAGCAATGACTGAGCTTAGTTTTTTTTTCATTATTTGGTAAGAAATGGAAATGATCCAAGCATCATTTTGAAATTACACCAACTTGCACATACTATTTAAAAGTGCTAAACAAAGTTGAATGTTCAGGGAGAGGTAAGAGCAGCAGAAAATTAATTCAAGAATGGGATGGTTCTTTTGACTTAATTCTGCCAGTAAAGTCTAAATTTTACAAGGATGTTGCGCTTATTAAAGTGCGGGACCAACCTTCTTTTTAAAAGCACTTTGAAGGAGTAGAATACACAATACTATTACAGGAAATAAAAAAGAATCAGATTCCAGGAAGAACCGAAAGGTTGTTTGAAATGTCATTCAGACTTCACCTAAAATATCCCCTGACATATCAATGCTGATAAAGATCAGTATTGAGTGGAATGTAGTTTAATCCTTAGACCAGTGACTTGCTATTTTTTTCAAATTTTTATAAATTTTGACAAAGGGCGCTTTAAAAAATAGAAATAATTTATGCACATAAATTATTTGTACCTCTCATTTTTAAAAAATCAATACTTTTGATCAAATAATTTATCTGGTTTCTCAAATTTGGTTTGCTCCTTTTTTTTCTCACTGTATTTATTGTCTTGAGAGATAGCAGGAATATTGCAGAGGCTTCTTCTACCTCATGTCCTAAATCACTAGAACACCAGAATTACCACCAAAGTTATGAATACTACATTTACATTTTCCTTCTTGCATGAAATGTATCCCTTTCTTTCTTCTTTTTTTTTATTGCATTTTAGGTTTTGGGGTACATGTAAAGAACATGCAAGATTGTTGCATAGGTACACACATGGCAGTGTGATGTGCTGCCTTCCTCCCCATCCTTTTCAGTTTCCTATCACTGTGCTGGTCCAACCTGCAGTCCATCCCATTTCCAGTTTAATGAATCCATTTTTCCTGCCCTTTAAATCCTTTTCATCAAGTAATTTCTCTAGTGAAATTTATTTTGAATGTCTTAAGATATCTGAAAAATGCTGTAACTGTGTGAGAAATGACATACCTTCTGAATCTATGTACCACATCATTACATAATTATTTGCTAGACGTACAATTTGTTTTCTCCATTTCTATCCTAGATAAGCATTTTTAAGCATAAACATCGCAGGCAGGTACCCTTATTTTTTCCCATACCTATTATTTGTAGTGAAAAGTAGATGATAGCTTATTTTTATTAATCCTCAAAGCACAACGTTGGTACCCATGTGCTTACTACTATAAAGGAATAGTTGGAAAGAAATAGAAGGTGCTAATAATCCAGTTGAGAAGATGTGAAAGAAATGTGTTTGTGCATTCAGTAAATATTTATTAAGCACTTACTATGTATGACTCTTATCTCAGGTATAAAACACACAGATGAATAGAAACACTACACATATATCAACCACATATAATAAAATGAGCATACATACAAACAGGGGACGATGAAAGGTATAAAATTCGAAGTTTGCCAGCTCAAGTTATTAGAGAGGAAACTTCTGTTTTTTCTTTTTAATGTGTGCTGTGTAGCTTCCTTTTTTTCTGCTCTCTGATCTGAGGGCTCTGTAACCTCGCAGAACTCTACAGTGCTGTAACTTTGAGTGCACAAGCAATTTCTTAACTGCAATCGAAAAAGAAACAGACCTCCCAGTGAGTAAAAACATGGATGTCATGACACTTCCTGTGTAACTCCATTAAACTTCTTCTCTGGGTGTTATGGCTTTGAGGAGTTCCGCTTTAATCAGGTCACAATCTCTATCCTTTGGGCTGCACCAGGTTAAGGAATTTGAGCTTTTTATCAGAATAAATGGATTGCCACTCTGGAATCCATTAAGGATGTGAAAAAGTCATTATAGTCGTATATATCTTGTACTAATTTGTGGAGTTTGTGATGAGAAGGCGCTAGGAGAATGTTTCAGAAATGCGTTCTAAGTGACATTTTTTCTTTCAAATCAACAAACAAAATAGAATTGAAACATTAATGTTTGGTAGCTGCGTCCTCAAGTAGACCAGCCCTGGCTATGCACCAGGTGCCATCTAGATAGTTAATAACCAGGAGCTTTAGTCTATGAGGTGACACTAATGCTGAGCTCATTGTCTCCACCAGTCCCCAAATCCCTTGGTCCTAATCCTGTGTCTGTCTTCTATCTGCAAGTTGGAGAGTAATTGCCTCTAAAAATTTTGACCAACTGGGGAACAAAAACCCATTTGAGCCCTTTACGCCTTACGTCCCTGTTAAAAAACAAGCAAACAGAAACTTCCCTGCTTTCCCCAATGCTAAACAAATGATGAGTCTAATTATTTAGTTTGTATACTTTAAAAAAATAAGATTATGGACAGATCACAAACATAAAACAAAAGAAAAAGTAATAGAAATTGTAAAAGAAGGGCAAAGCCAAGCAGTGAATAGGGGAGGGGGTAAAAGGAAGAAGAAGAGAAAAATTATACTAGAAAATCAAAGCTGAGGCAAGCTCCTGCAATTGAGAAGAAAATTAGCTCTGAGATTCTGGTGACCAAAGCAAAAAATAGAAGTACAATGGATTCTTAACAGATTGTCAAGGGAAACAAAGTTTTTCCTATCTCTAAATTATTAAAGGAATTTATCACCTGGGCCCTAAAATACAGGTCATTTGGACAATATAATAGATGGAGACTGCATTAGCAATTTATTAAAAGTCCTACTGACATTTCTTAGATCTTCCCTAGATAAATCATATTTAACATGTAACAGTTGCAGCTGACATTCAAACTACTACTGTTACAATTAAAAGTCCATGATAGTATTTTCAAATACTTTAAATCTCTGCTGCCCGGTACTTCTAGCCCCCAATTCCCTACTCCATTACCTGTAGTATTCCACTTATTCATTAAAATAGTTATGCCATCATTAATAGCACAGAGTACACCCCACAATGGGAACAATAATTCTGAAAAGTTACATGTAAGGCCAGAATCTTAAATTGCGATAGGACATACAAGTTCATTTATTCCAATAGATCTCAAACCTAGCCCTTTGTCCCAATTGCCTGGCAATATTTTTAAATACCATATTCCCAAACCCAGCTTCCAGATTCTGATTAAGTAGTTCTGGGTATAGGCCTGAAAATAGGTTGGTGGTGGTGGTGGTGGTGGTGGTAAAGAGATTCTCCTATGAAGTCGGGCATTTAGGAATCACCAATCTGATCCTGTCTCCCATTCAGTACAGGATTCCTCTCTAAACATAGCAGTGAGTCAGTTGCCCAGACCATGTTGAAGAATAGCCTTGACTTCATGAGAAAAGATATTCCATTATGGGAATGTTCTAATCATCAAATCATACATTCTCCACTACCACAGTATCTTAATAAGGTTTCATTTGATTTCTGATTAAACTTTAATTCTTAGGAGCTGCAAATCCTTGAAAATATTTGTTCCTGTAGTTTGTGTATCAAATATTTGAAGATCTTACGAAATAATGTAAATGTATCAAGAGGATTATATTAACATGATTCTTTAGAGAATTATTTTGTAAGTAAAACCTTGTACCATGCAGCTATTAATCCTTAAAGTATATATAATGTTAGTTGAAGTATATTAAAGTTGGCAAGTTGTATACACTATATGCTCTTTATACAAAAAGTTTTTCGAATCCTTATATCACTCATACTGTCAAATTGATGTCTCTATTGAAAGTATATGTTAATTTTTCCCATTTTTAACATCCTTTGGAATTATTTATTTATAGTAAGTGTTGCTATTTTGACTGCTTCTTTAAAAAGTCTGTGTCTGCCTCTAAGAAACCAGTTTTTTACTATAGATCCCTGATGTTTAGAATGTGACCTGAATTGAAGATCTTAGACTGTTTAACATGAATAATAAATGACCGGAATAATTTACAAGTTAACACATTTCAAATTAAATGAATAACAAAGAAATAAAATTTCACATTATAGCACTGAATATATTCTCCTGAAGAAGATTCATTACATGTGTATGAGTCCCATGTGGTAAACAGGGCTAGGCAAAAAGCATGAAAATAAACTTAAGGTAGAGGAAAATAAATTAATTAGATCTGTCATTTTCCTCAAGGGAAAGAATTATACAAAAGAGCAATTACTTTGTAACTGCACCTCAGGAAGGCTAGTTGACTGAAGAATTGTTTTCTCCCTTCTTCACATTTTCTCCATTTTTAAATATGAATTGATTGGGTTTTTGATATAAATGCTCTTGGGGAGAATTTGGTGAATGTTTAGACCAGGTGAAGCCTCTCAGGTTTGTCAAAGCACATGTCTCTGGAGGAGGTGTAATTTCTTCACACAGACTGGTATTTAGAGATTATCTTATCAGTGCAAAGTACAGAGGTTAAAAAGCTGCTTCATTGCAGGGGACTCCGGTATCAGGAAGCAGTCTAGGCATCGGGTCATCATTCAGCTGCCAGCCAATGGGGGCCGAGACTGCACAGATCCCCTCTATGAAGAGAAGGCCTGCGAGGCACCTCAAGTGTGCCAGAGCTACAGGTAGGATTAGGGAAATGCATCGTGAGGGAGGAGCTGAACAAATACGTCAACTCCACTTCATTTCCTAGGATAAGGAAAGGAAGTCAGCACGCTTCCACAGGCTCAGTGGAGTTGGGAACGTTTATGGCTGTAGCTGCCATTCTTGTCTCTTCATCTTTGGGAGAGCTGCTCTGCTGTATAAGGAGACAAATACTTGTATACATTTCCAAGGTGTGATATTAGCCACAGTAGTTTAGGGAAGTGTCTTATGTTGGAAGAAGGTATAAGAAATGCTGAACGTGATTAATAGTTATGAAACATATATGCTTTAGGAAGCAATTCATTTTCACTTAGAAGAATAGCCTAAGTATTTCTCCTCTGGCTCCAAAGAGCACCTGTTTGTTCTCATAAATGCTGGTATTCTGGCTTGCGAAATGACAGCGGTATCTCAGTGATGCTAATAAGATGTCTGTTGTGTTCATTTGTGATTACCTCAAATAAAATTATAGTTATTGAGGCTATGTATCATCTTGATAACTTATTAGAGAAATTTTACCTCCTCATGATTAAGACAGAAAATATCTAGTAGAAATCTGACGCAGTATATGTTTGCAGTCCCGACAGTAAATAAAATATTACGGCATCAATTAATGCCAAAATAATTACTTAAGATGGTATTATTGTCAAATTTGCCATCTTAATGTATCAGCCTTAATTCTGAGATGACAAATACTCGTCATGTGTACACTGTGAACATTGACAACTACTGGTTCAAACTTATTTATTTTTGCAATTTGTTTTTATAAAGTGTACTATAATTACAGTCGCCGAGATACTCCTACAGTGCGAACCAAAAGAGCACCATACAAAAGACTCATGCCTTGAATACAGTTTCATAACTTGAATAAATGTATTTTATTTAAATGGCATGCATCACTTCTGGGGCCGTCTGGTGCATCTGTTGGCAGTCTTAATTATTAAAAAGTCTAAAAGTTCTCAGTAGAGTTCCATAGAGCTTGACGATGATGTACTCTTGTCTTCATTGCCAGAGAAAGTACTTTTGTATTTAATGCTGCTTCTTCTAAAGCCTTGATGGAGATCTAAATTAAATTTAAATAGAACTGAGCATTGTTAAATAAATTCCTGTTTGCAGTAGTCAGTCATGCTGCTGTGTGTCTGTGATTTGCCTGGCATTTTTGCTTCTTCTCCATCAGGCTTCTGTTCTTGTCTTGTAGGTGGAAGACCCACAAATGGCGCAGATGCCAATTAGTCCCTTGGAGCGTGCAACAAGACAGCCCTGGAGCACAGGAAGGCTGTGGGCCTGGGCGACAGGCAAGAGGTGGGAGGCCCCATTCCACAGTTCATTTCTCCAACATCACCAGTTTAACCACTATTTTGATGTGCTTGTCACTTTGACACCATGCTCAGCAAACAGAGCAAAGCAGATATAAATCTGCTATGAGCCACTCCACAAAACATCAGGACATGGAAACTTGTCTTTTTAAATTGTCCCTGTTGTTTTGTGGCATTAGCTCATAACTCTGGAATTTTTCTCTCATTTATATCTGAAAGAAAATCAGGCCAAACTTTCAGTTATGACATAGATGGTACACTGAAGCTTTTGGTTTGTTTTTAGATTGAAGTATTCCATAGCACTTTGCTTGCCACCTTAAACAGTATGATTTCTACTTCCTTGTCTACATGCATTGTGTATGTGCATATATGCTATGTAACAGAATTTGTTAACTTTTTCAGAAGTTCTCAGAATGACATTCCTATCATTTTCATGGCTATCTACATTCTGTTCATATTTAGTACTGATTTTTAAATGGAAGACTTATTTGCTTATCTGTAATCTGCAGCACTAAATAACATGGAATCTTGCAGAAATGGTTAATGAAAATGTTTGAAGCTTGTTTACTAGATATTATAGGGAATGTATAAAGCTTTGAAATATGTTGTTTCTTCCAGGCATAACAAATTCAGTATTTAAAGAGTGCATGATTATTTTTACTCATATTGACTTTTAGAATATAGCTCCTGCTGTATACTTAAAATGTAGTTTAATATGTAATTGAATATGCAAGAAACTGTATTTAATTTATAAAAAACTTATTTTGTTCACTCATATGTAGTTATATATTTCAGGTTGACATAAAAATTTGAACATATAGAGCAGAATTCCAGTTTTTAATGATTTTATCTGGGACTTCCTTTTCTATACAATGAAAAAACTGCCTTTTTGAGAAAAAAAAAAAGCTTTTATTTCCTTTAAAAAAAAATCCCCTATGTTTATAATCTTCCTTTTAGAAGCCTTCTTCTGAAACATAAAACTTAGTTTCCAAATAATCTTAAATTCCTAGTTGCAGTAATTTTTAGAATTTTATTTTATTTCCATAATTCTCATTATGTGTCTCCCACCATCAGCTTAGGATAAAATGTAATTGTGACTCCCTTTGTAGTTATAGAAACTGTAGGAAAGTTGCGTTATGAGGTACAGTATACAGAGCTGAAAGTCATTCTTCTCCATTTCAAATCATTCTTTGAGAGACTGAGTGAAATCTTCTTTGCATGCCCTGCTGATCCCTTCTTAAGCATAGATTTGCCTACATTTTCTGTTCTTTTATATACATGTATATATATATTGCGCTTTAGGTTCTGGGGTACATGAGCATAACATGCAGGATTGTTGAATGGGTACATACATGGCAGTGTGGTTTCCTGCCTCCATTCCCTTCACCTGTGTCTGGCATTTCTCCCCATGTTATCCCTCCCCAACTCCCTACCGCCCATTATCCCTCCCCTAGTCCCCTCAACAGACCCGGTTGTGTGATGCTCCCCTCCCTGTGTCCATGTGTTCTCATTGTTCAACACCCACCTATGAGTGATACCATGCAGTGTTTGATTTTCTGTTCTTCTGTCAGTTTGTTAAGAATGTTGGTTTCCAGATTCATCCATGTCTCTGCAAAGGACACAAACTCATTGTTTTTTATGGTTGCATAGTATTCCATGGTGTATATGTGCCACAATTTCCTTGTGCAGTCTCTCATCGATGGGCATTTGGGTTGGTTCCAGGTCTTTGCTATTGTAAACAATGCCACAATGAATGTACGTGTGCGTGTGTCCTTATAATAGAATGATTTATAATCCTTTGGATATATAACCAGTAACAGGATTGCTGGGTCAAATGGAAGTTCTATTTCTAGGTCCTTGAGGAATTGCCACACAGTCTTCCACAATGGTTGAACTAATTTCCACTCCCACCAACAGTGTAAAAGTGTTCCTATTTCTCCACATCCTCTCCAGCATCTGTTGTCTCCAGATGTTTTAATGATCACCATTCTAACTGGAATGTTTTTCCATCTGTTTGTGTCCTCTCTTATTTCCTTGAGCAGCGGTTTGTAGCTCTTCTTGAAGAGACCTTGTACATCCTTTGTTAGTTGTATTTCTAGGTATTTTATTCTCTTTGTAGCAGTTACAAATGGCAGTTCGTTCTTGATTTGGCTCTCTTTAAGTCTGTTATTGGTGTATAGGAATGCTTGTGATTTCTGCACATTGATTTTGTATCCTGAGACTTTGCTGAAGTTGCTTATCAGTTTCAGGAGATTTTGGGCTGAGACAGTAGGGTCTTCTAAATATACAATCATTTTATCTTCAAATAGAGACAATTTGACTTCTTCCTTTCTGATTTGAATACCATTTTTTTCTTTTTCTTGCCTGATTGCTCTGGCTAGAACTTCCAATACTATATTGAATAGGAGTGGTGAGAGAGAGCATCCTTGTCTAGTGCCAGATTTCAAAGGGAATGCTTCCAGTTTTTGCCCATTCAGTGTGATATTGGCTGTAGGTTGGTGGTAAATAGCTTTTATTATTTTGAGATACATTCCACTGATACCTAGTTTATGGAGTTTTTAGCATAAAGCACTGTTGAATTTTGTCAAAGGCCTTCTCTGCATCTATTGAGATAATCATGTGGCTTTTGTCTTTGGTTCTGTTTATGTGGTGGATTACATTTATAGACTTTCATATGCTGAACCAGCCTTGTATCCCCGGGATGAAGTCTACTTGAATGTGATGGATAAGCTTTTTGACATGCTGTTGCAATTTGTTTGCTAGTATTTTATTGAAGATTTTTGCATCTGTGTTCATCATGGATATTGGACTGAAGTTTTCTTTTCTTGTTGAGTCTTTGCTGGGTTTTGGTATCAGGATGATATTGGTCTCATAAAATGATGTGGGAAGGATTCCCTCTTTTTGGATTGTTTGGAATAGTTTCAGAAGGAATGGTACCAGTTCCTCTTTTATGTCTGGTAGAATTCAGCTGTGAACCCATCTGGACCTGGGCTTTTTTTTGGTTGGTAGGCTGTTAATTGCTGCCTCAACTTCAGCCCTTGTTATTGGTCTATTCAGGGTTTCAACTTCTTCCTGGTTTAGGCTTGGGAGGGTGCAAGTGTCCAGGAATTTATCCATTTCTTCCAGGTTTACTGGTTTATGTGCATAGAGTTGTTTGTAGTAATCTCTGATGGCAGTTTGTTTTCCTGTGGAATCTGTGGTGATATCTCCTTTATCGTTTTTTATTGAATCTCTTTGATTCTTCTCTTTTCTTTTTTCTTAATCTGGCTAATAGTCTCTCCATTTTGTTTATCTTTTAAAAATAAAAAACAGCTCCTGGATTTATTGATTTTTTGAAAGGTTTTTTGTGTCTCTATCTCCTTCAGTTCTGCTGTAATCTTAGTTATTTCTTGTCTTCTGCTAGCTTTTGAGGTTTTTTTTTTTTTTTTTATCTTGCTCCTCTAGCTCTTTCAATTTTGATGATAGACTGTGGATTTTAGATCTTACCTTGCTTCTTATGTGGGCATTTATTGCTATAAATTTTCCTCTAGACACTGCTTTAAATTGTCCCAGAGATTCTGGTATGTTGTGTCTTTGTTCTCATTAGTTTCAAAGAACATCTTTATTTCTGCCTTCATTTCATTGTTTATCCAGTCAACATTCAAGGGCCAGTTGTTCAGTTTCCATGAAGTTGTGCGGTTCTGAATTAGTTTCTTAATCCTGAGTTCTAATTTGATGGCACTGTGGTCTGAGACACTGTTTGTTATGATTTCCGTTCTTTTGCATTTGCTGAGGAGTGACGTACCTCCGATTATGTGGTCAATTTTGAAATAAGTGCAATGTGGTGCTGAAAAGAATGTATATTCTGTGGATCTGGGGTGGAGAGTTCTATAAATGTCTATTAGGTTTGCTTGGCACAGCTCTGAGTTCAAGTCCTGGGTATCCTTGTTAATTTTCTGTCTCGTTGATCTGTCTAATATTGACAGCCGAGTGTTAAAGTCTCCCACTATTATTGGGTGGGAGCCTAAGTCTCTTTGTAGGTCATTAAGAACTTGCTTTATGTATCTGTTGCTCCTGTGTTAGGCGCATATATATTTAGGATCATTAACTCTTCTGTTGCATTGATCCTTTTACCATTATGTAATGCCCTTCTTCGTCTCTTTTGATCTTTCTTGGTTTAGAGTCTGTTTCATCAGAGACTAGGATTGCAACTCCTCCTTTTTTTTTTCCTTCTCTCCATTTGCTTGGTAAATCTTTCTCCATCCCTTTATTTTGAGTCTTTGCATTTCCTTTCATGTGAGATGAGTTTCCTAAATACAGCACACTGAAGGGTTTTGACTTTTTATCCAATTTGTCAGTCTGTTTCTTTAGATAGGGGCATTTAGCCCATTTACATTTAAGGTTAATTTGTTATGTGTGAATTTGATCCTGCCATTTTGATGCTAGCTGATTGTTTAGCCCATTTGTTGATGCAGTTTCTTCATTGTGTCGATGCCCTTTACCATTTGGTACATTTTTGGAGTGGCTGGTACTGGTTGTTCCTTTCTATGTTTAGTGCTTCTTTCTCTTGTAAGGCAGGCCTGGTGGTGACAAAATCTCTGAGTAGTTGCTTGTTCGTAAAGGATTTTATTTCTCTCTGCTTATGAATCTTAGTTTGGCTGGATATGAAATTCTAGGTTGAAAGTTCTTTTCTTTAAGGATGTTGAATATTGGCCCCCACTCTCTTCTGACTTGTGGCGTTTCTGTGGAGAGCTCCGCTGTGAGTCTGATGGGCTTACCTTTGTGTGTGACTCAACCTTTCTCTCTAGCTGTCCTTAGCATGTTTTTTTTAATTTCAACCTTGATGAATCTGATGATTATGTGCCTTGGGGTTGCTTTTCCTGAGAAATATCTTTGTGGTGTTCTCTATATTTTCTGGACTTGAATATTGGCCTGCCTTGCTAGGTTGGGGATGTTTCTCCTGGATAATATCCTGAAGAGTGTTTTCCATTTGTATTCATTCTTTCCATCACATTCAGGTACACCTATCAAACATAGGTCTTTCCACATAATCCCATATTTCCTGGAGGCTTTGTTTATTTCTTTTCACCCTTTTTTCTCTAGAATTGCCTTCTCATTTTATTTCATTGAGTTGATCTTCAATCTCTGATATCTTGTCTTCTGTTTAGTCAATTTGGCTATTGAAACTTGTTTATGCTTCATGAAGTTCTCATGTTGTGTTTTTCAGCTCCATCAATTCATTTATGTTCTTCTCTAAGCTGTTTATTCTCATTAGCATTCATCAAACCTTTTTTCAAGTTCTTAGTTTCTTTGCATTGGATTTAGAACATGTTCTTTTAGCTCAGAGAATTTTGTTATTACCCATTTTCTGAAGCCTGTTTCTGTCAGTTCATCTGACTTATTCTCCATCCAGCCTTGTTCCCTTGCTGGTGAGGAGTTGTGATCCCTTGGAGGAGGAGAGGTGTTCTGGTTTTGGGTGTTTTCATCTTCTGTGCTGGTTTCTTCCCATCTTTGTGGATTTATCTACCTGTGGTCTTTGTAGTTGGTCACTTTCAGATGGGGTCTCTGAGTGGATGCCCTTTTTGTTGATGATGAAGTTATTTCTTTCTGTTTTTTAGTTTTCCTTCTAACAGTCATGCCCCTCTGCTCTAGGACTGCTGGAGGTCCACTCCAGACCCTGTTTGCCTGTGGATCATCTGCAGCAGCTGCAGAACAGTAAGGGTTGCTGCCAATTTCTTTTTTCTGTTATCTTTGTCCCAGAAGGATACCTGCCAGATGTCAGTCTGAGCTCTCCTTTATGAGGTGTCTCTTTGGATATACGGGGGTTGGGGAGCTGCTTGAGGAGACAGTTTGTCCCTTATAGGAGCTCAAGCGCACAGCTGTGAGCTCTGTTGTTCTGTTCAGAGCTGCTGGGCAGGTACGTTTAAGTCTGCTGCAGCGGAACTCAAAACCACCCTTTTTTCCCAGGTGCCCTGTCCTGGGAAGGTGGGGCTTTATTTATAATTTTGTGACGTGCTGCTGCCTTTTTTCAGAGATTCCCTGCCCAGCAAGGAGGCAGCCTAGTCACAGTCTGCCAGCAGAGGTTGTTGCTGAGCTGCCGTGCACTCTGCCCAGCTGCTGTGTGAACTTCCTTGCAGTTTTGTTTATAGAGGTATAGATAGAACTGCCTCAGTAACAGTGGTCTGCCTCAGTAATGGCAAACTGTTTCCGTAATGGCAGACTGCCTCGGTGATGGTGGATTGCCTCAGTAATAGTGGACTGCCTCAGTAGTGGTGGACTGCCTCGGTAATGGTGGTTGCCCTTCCCCCCACAGAGCTGGACCATCCCGGGTCCAGCTGTGCTTGCTGTGAAACTCAATCCAGAGCGTTTGGGATTGCTGGCCTTTGTGGGGATGGGACCCACTGAGGCATATCACTTGGCTCCCTGTTTTAGCCCCCTTTTTTTCAGTTGAATTGGCAACTGTCTCCCAGGCGTTCCAGGCACCAGTTGAAACGACTGCCTAGATTTGTGTGAATTTTTTTGCGGATACCCACTGTGCTGGCTGAAACAGCCATGCTGGAAACTCATGGCACTTTTGCACCCAGGAATCTTCTGGTCCGTGGGGCAGTAAAAACTCATTTGGACATGCAGTGATCATTCACCCTCTGCATTCTCACTGGGAGCTACACTCCAGAGCTGTTCCTATTTGGCCATCTTGGATCATCTCCCATTTTGGGTTCTGTATAGAGTTTATAATGAAAATGAGCATGAGTTTGGGAATCAGGAAATATAAGTTTTAGTCTCAGGTTTTTTTACTAATAAATACAGTGTGTCTTATTCATCCCTTCATCTTTCTGGATCTCAGTTTATTTAGATTAAAAGAAAAAAAAGGTTTGGACCAAATAATCTTTTACGATTATTCAAATTTTCTTAATATATGCACAAACAACACCCAGGGATCAAAATGTCAAATAAAATTAGGTAAAACAGATGAAAGCTATATTTTTATAAAACACAACTGGAGGAAATACACGATAGAGTAGAAGCAGCACAAGAGTGAAAGCAGCTTCAGTTCCAAATTGTTATGTATAAGCTGCACAACCTTGGATGATTCATTTCCTCCCTTTAAGGCTAAGAACACAAAAGCCTTGCAGCACTTGGAACATGCTGTCTTCATTAAATGTTAATTTATTCCCTCTTCCCTTTCGTTCATAACCCAACTGAGAGTATGTATATCGGCCTTTTGGGTTTTACAGGCAGTCTGTACAAAAACTATTCTTTCTGTGATTACCAGGAACCTTTTCATTTCCAAATTGGAAAACTGTTTATTCTTCATCCTGGGTGGCCACCTCGTGTTATCAAATACTTGTTACCACTCCCTCTGAGATAAAAGGATCTTTAGCGTCATCAGTGCTACTTTCTCCTGTCTTTCTGATTGGTCTTTTTTGATTTCCTATTACTGGTGTCTCTTTCTCTGTCTGTACTTACATAGTGCTTCCTAATCTTGGCATAGCTGTCAAACAACCTGCTGTGCCTCAGTAATCTTATCTATTTTCAGGGTGTCTGGGAAGAGAAAGTTGCATTATAACAAGTGATTGCTTCATAAATGTATTCATAACAACCCCTTTAACTTCCATATGAAGACAGTCTTTTTCATTGTTGCCTGAGTAGATGAAAGATTCTTACAGCTTATATTTCTATAGAAACATGAAATGGAGAAAATTAAGAGTGGAGAAATATATTTTCCTTATTGCAAGAAGGCAAAATTTTCTTCCTTTGATGGTGATGGCTGTTTTCTGAACTCCACATTATTAAGCTTCCAAATTCTTCCTGTTTTCATCTTTGTCCGTCCTTATGTGGTCAAAGACTTGAATTTTTAAAAAAATGAACTTGTACTATTTTTTAATGACAAAAAATATAGTAAACTTTAAATCAGACAGCAAAGACTATAGAGAAGCCACTCTCTGTCCCCACTAGTGCCTCAGACTTTCTAATTTCAGTTGCTCATTCCACTGTTACTACATTCAGAAGACCGTAGAAAAAGCTATAAATGTTAGGAAAGAATGAAGATGTTTAAACAAGAGAGCTTTATTTGTTAGGGAAATTAGAACAGTGTTAATGTCACCCAAAATGTAAGAATTAAAGACTGAAACTTATCAGTTGCAAGGCCAATAATTTGAAGCTAAAGAGCTGAGAAAAGACTTAAAGTATGGTTGGGACTTGACCTGTACCATAATATTAGAAGAAGTAGAGAGAATAAAAGAACACAAAATAGATCAATTCTCTAAGCTAAGTGTTTGAGGTAAGAAAAACAAAAACATTAAATGTGTTCACAAAAAAGTGGGTGGATTGAGCCTCTGCAGATATAATCTGAAGCCTGGGGTGATTTTGTGGAAGGCTATAAATGTCAAGATCAGTATTTTAGACCTTGTTCGATAAGTGGTATGAGCAAGGACCTGATGAAAGCAGTGTTTTATCTGTCAGCGTGCACAGAATAAATTAGAAAGATAAGACACATGGGCCTGAATGCCAGCTAGTATGCTGCTGTAGCAATGCAAGGTTGAAGTCATAGAAACAACAGTAATAAAAATAGGCAAAAATAAATGGATAGTGGACATACTGTAGAGGGAAATATGTTGCGGACTTAGTAGCAGACAATAGAAGGAGAGAGAAAAATAAGAGTCAAGGTTGATCATATGATTCTTTAGCTCCAACATTTATAGTTTAAGAATAGTTGTATTGGTGAAAACTCCTAGGTCTAAAAGTAGAGCTAATTTTAGAAAACATATTTTATACATTTTATATTTGAGGTCACGGTAAGGTTAGCCAGGTTGAAATATCCAGGTATGCCCTTGAATGTAGAAGTGTAGCTGTAGAGACAGCATGGATGGCGGATGGAAATTAGGGTAACATTACCATAGAGTGAATTGCTGAAGTTACAGAAAAAGCTAAGAGCTCTAAAATACAACTTGTATTATATATATGAGTAAAAGCAATTATACCTTACCACTAATAGATTTCGTTTTACTTTAAAAAGTTTGTATTTGTTGAATCTTTAAGCGTTTCCTTTAATTTAAAGAATTTATCTTAAATGTTATTGACTTTAAATTGTGTCCTTACTTGTACTCTCACTTGAACAATATCATGTAACTAAGATATGAGATGGCTAACTTTACCATTGTGTGATTCTAGAGATAGAAATGTTTATTTCTTGGCTTTTATCAATCTGTGTGTCTATGCCAGGAGTCAGCTAACTATGGCCTACGAGCCAAGTCCAGCCCACAGCCTGTTTTTTGTAGTTAGTTTTATCAGAACATAGCTACAACCATTTTTTTACATACTGCCTGTGGCTGCCTTCATGATACAAGACAAAACTGAGAGTTGTGAAAGAGATCATATGGTCTACAGAGCCAAAAATATTTACCATGTAGTCTTTTACAGAAAAAAATTGTTGACCCTTGATCTAAACCCAAAAGCCATGTAACCAATGATATAGTCACAATTTCTAATACTACTGAATGTTATTAGATGAATTATTAATTATTAACGAATAGTCATTACCCAGTAGGCTCAGAAAATCCCTGGAATTTATCTTGTCACTTGGGAAGAAGTATACAAATTCAATTCATGTACAAATTCAATTCAGCAATAAAGGAACTACTTTATAGTGATGAAAGTAGCAGACTTTAAAGACCAGAACAATGGCAAAATATCTACCTTTAAGGATGAAATTGTGGCATTCTTATTGGGGGGATGGTTAGGAATAAAATGTTGACTCTAAGAACTTTAGTAGTAAAACTAAAAATTAAAAAGGAGCTAAAGGTGAAACCAGAACATACGTGGGCTGTGGAAGATAGGAGAGGAAAACAGTCCAGGCCTCAAATTCCTTTGATTCAAACATGAAAAATCATATTCAGAAGTTGAACATTCAGTTAATTTACTAAGTACACACAGAACAGAGAGAATGTGTGTGTCTCATATAATACATGCCATTCAGCACATTTGAAAGGTCACCTATTATGATTCGGTTCTTCTCCAACGTCTGTAACCTTCCACATTAATAGAAAAATGTAACACAAATAACAAAATGC